GTCTTTGGCCCCCCGCCCCGCCCTTCCCCCCCCCCCCCCCTCACCCCCGCGGGGCTCTCCGGAATCCCGTGGGATTCCCTGAAGGGGCAGAGCCAGCCCTCCTGACCGACAGGCTGTGGTCCTGCTGCTTGCCCTGCTCCCTCCTCCCAGGTCCTGAACTCCACCATCTCCTGGTCGCTGTAGCCAAGGCTGCCCCCAGCCTCCACGTCCCCCTCCAGTCCTTCCTTGCTTGTGAATACGAGGACACCTCCCTTCCCCTCTCCGCTCCTCAATCGCCTGTGCCAGGACGTTGTCACCGAGGCACTCGGGAAGCCTCCTGGATTGCTTGTGCCCACCCGTTGCCCCTCCAGCGGATATCAGGGCTGCTTCCAGTTGTCTAGAGAAGGCCTCATCCTAACGATCAGTCATCACACTGCAGAATCATTTATTAAAACCTACGGGTCCAGTTTTTTTTCTGAGCAGAATAGAAGCCTTCTTTTAATTTGGTTTATTATCACTACGTATAAAAGTGACCTATGCTTCAGAAATTACTTTGCAGTGTAGATTTTTGTCATGTCCCAAGGGAAATGTTAGTTGTGTATATCCTTGTGACTAATACTCTTACTGACTTGAACAGGCAACCAAAAATGTGAAGCCTTACAGACTGTATTAGGAGAAAAAAATAGTGATTAAGTCAGGTACTTTTAAAAGTTGTAATCCCATCTTTGGGAAAAAGCCTACCTTTGGCTACAGCCCAAAAGTTCTTTAGCTGGAGTTGGCCAAAAGCGTGATGTCTTGCTGTCTTTAAGGTTCCTGTTTGCTGTCCTGTGATTATTTGCTGTGTACCCAGTAAAGCTCCTCTGTCTGAATCAATCAGATTTCTGAAAGAATTGTGTATAACTTTTCCAGTAGTAGGAGTAGCTTGCTCGCAGTGTTTTGTTAGAATACTTCACAAATGAATGCAGCTGGAATAGTTACAGCTTCACGTGTTGATAAATTGTCATCGCTTCCATTAATGCATACAAGGCTCTGAGCTGCAGCAGCTGAGGGCTGTGGTTCATGGTCTCTGTCACATACAGCTGCAGTGGTGAAATCCAGCTGGAATTAAGGATTGGAATCTCGAATATCTGCTCTTCAGTTTTTCCTGGCTTGTTTTAATGTCCTATGGTATCTTCTATTTTTGATAGCTGATGAGTAGTTTTTTGTTGCTTTTTTTTTACATAGATGTTTAATAGTAAGCAGGAGCAGTGACTGGAATGTCACTTGGCTAGATTACGCAGTCAGCCAATGTACGACAGGCTATTTCACCAGAATGTAATAGTAAATTGTCAAATGTTTTTCCCCAAAGTTCTGTACATCTCTGCATATGTGATAGCAGTGCAGTGTTCATGGGAGCTGCTGTAGAAATACTTCTACGGATAAATTATTTGCATGTGATTCTCTTAATACCCATAAAGTCTGGCAAATGGCAGGATTAATTTTCTGCCTTTTGCAAGATTTGGGGGAAAAAACCCAAAACCAAACAAACCAACCCCAAATTTAAATCAGGAGTGAGGCTCTATTTACTCAGTTGCTTGACAGGTGGTTGTTCGATTTCTTTCTTTTGAAGATGCAAAATAAATTACGAAGGCAATACAATATTATTGTTTTTTTTTCTCCCCAGATATTCTGATCGCTATGGCAGCCACAAGAAATGTGATGAGAGCTGTCAGAGTTTTTGAATTTGGTGGCCCTGAAGTGCTTAAACTCCAGTCAGATGTCTTAATTCCTGATCCAAAAGAAAATCAGGTATATATGAGTTCTGTGAACTGAAATAATGATATTGAATGATACAGGTACACTCAGAACAGAATGAAGAATACAAAACAAAACTTTTAATCTTGAATATGTAGTTTTTGATCAGTGTATTCATACTACCTGAGACATCACGTTTAACAAATGTGGGCTTTTTACTGTTATATGGGCTACATATTTTTAGGAAATTCTTTATATGGAATAGCTTCAGTTGAACACTGAATTTTTGCTGACTCTGTTTAAGAATTTAGTTAAAATGCCATGATACTGTGCTGTGAATTCAAGTTCTAAATCTGTTTAATTATTGCTTAAGAAGCATCTTTTCTTTTAGGTGTTGATTAAAGTCCATGCCTGTGGAGTGAATCCTGTCGAGACATATATTCGTTCTGGAAATTATGCTAGAAAACCAGCTGTACCCTATACTCCTGGCTCAGATGTGGCTGGTGTAATAGAAGGTGTTGGGGAACATGTGACTGCATTCAAGGTATTTATGCATTGGGTTTTAATTCACTATTGTTTATTGTATCTTCTTCGTGTGATTGCTATACTACTGTTCCTGTTTTTATTGCTTATAATCATGTAATCTGTTCGGGGGGAGGAAATCACCTTCATTGACTGGTAAAAGCACGCAGCAAGATCATATTGGCAATCCAGTCTGTAGATAGAACTGTAGGGAAGTCTTTAATGCTGTTGACGTCCAAGAGTTAAAAGGTCTCAGAAGAGGCACTTCGGTTTGTCTGCTTAAAGCAATGATATCTGGTGTACACAAGTTGTGGTTCAGAACTATTTTTATGGCATTGCAGAAATATTTGAAGTTGGATGCTTCCTGCTTGAGGTAATAATTTCAGGCAGAACTGAAAAATTTTCTGTAAATTTTTTTTTTTGGAAATGGAAATAGCCTTTATTTTACTGACTTATAAAACCCCATAAATTACTTATTTGTTGTTAAAACTGTTCAAATACTTTATTATTCCAGTCTAGTAATTTTACTTAGATTTTCTCAGGGGGAAGGCCTTGGGACACGAGAAGGCAACTACCAGTTTGCTAAAAGATATCTATGAAATTTATCTAGTTTTTAAATCTGTTCTTCCTTTCAAGTCACTAGGCTGTTGGTCTCAGACAAACAGAAAAAAATGTAGTTAAAATTGTGTTGGAATTTCCTGACTTGGAATTTATGTAACCATTGTGGGAGAGATGAGAGATTTGGTTATCTAGAGAGAAGAATCACGTTTATTCATATTTTCTTATCGGTAGTTTGCTATATCTGCTGTGTGTGCTTTTTGTTTCTTATGGAAATCGTGATGCTCTTTGCTTGCATGAAAGAGAGAGATGATGAGATCAGTACGTGCCACAGACAGACATCCTGAAAATGCTGAGTAGCCAGGCTCATTCATTTGCATACTCATAATGCTTGAGAAACAGCTATGCTGATATGCAGCCCTCTGCACAGTAGTTAATACCCAACGTCTGCAAACCAAACTGACGCAGTCCACACGCTGTATATTTATTGAGATCAACGTGCAAATAGTAGAAAAATCAGAGCTCGGTAACTGTGAACGTTAACGGATACTGACATCGTTCTGCGAGTGGGCTTGTACAAGGTTGGGTGCTGACCTGGACCTCAGCAGCTGGCGCTGTGCTCCATCAGCAGGACTGAAGCGCCTAGGCGCACACACATACAGCACACTGCCAGGTGGTGCATTTCCTGCATCACCTACTGAACTGCTGGTTTGAGTATTCCCTGTTGAAGAACAGCAGCAATATTTAGTTACCTTAGAGTATATTAAGATTATATCTTTTTTCCACGTTTAAACAAAAATAATTGAGAAATGGTTCTTTTGTGTTTGTAAAAGCTTTTGAGGTTTTGTGTTTGGAATCTGCGGATGGAATTCTTTAGTGTTCAGGTTCATTAATGTTAATACTAATGAGACAGTAGGTTTGTGTGTTACACTGTAGAGTGGGGGTTATAATTATGACACTTAAATCTAAGTATATGACATTATATGGTTTGTGTTGCATTGATTGTATGTATTAGCATTTATAAAAATCTTCCAAGTATAACTGGTTATTTTTAATATGAGCCATTAGAAATAGCCTAAACTTATGTGAACTGGTTCTTAATGTATATTAAGGAAAAAATAAGGGAGATGATTAATTTCTCTATTTTCTTTCCCTCCTTTCTAGAAAGGTGACAGAGTTTTTACCATTGGTACGATCTCTGGAGGATATGCAGATTATGCAGTTGCTGCAGCTAATAGAGTCTTTCCTCTGTCGGATAAATTGGACTTTAGGCAAGGAGCAGCGATTGGAATACCCTACTTCACTGCTTATCGCGCTCTTTTCCAAAAGTAAGGTGCCCAATCTAAGTTTGTGCATTTTGCTTTTGAATATTTAAAACATTGAAGCCCATATCTTCATTGTCCTGTAAAATGCGGAGAGATCAATGAGTGGAAAATGTTTAAAACACTTAAGTTAAATTTGTTACACTGATGGAATTGTCAGATAATTGTTACCTAGAAGCTAGAGACTGTATTTTCCTGTTAAGTATTTCTTCTTAAGAGAACAGACCTGGGAAGGCTTCTTCGATAAGTATCATGTAATAAAACGTGTAACTCTCTTTCAGTATTCATTGGTATTTTAGCTAGGGAAGAAACACAGGAATAGTTCTAATTTCTTAATTGAACAGACAATGTGCTGTAGCGCAGACCCACCTCTTTTCTTTGTGAGCCTGTCTGCCAGAGAGACTGTGTACAGTCCTGGCTGTTACCATAGGACAGTATAACGAGTAAAAGCCAGACTTCCGTGTCAGCTAGGTGAGAGTTTAGGCTGGAAATCTGGTTTAGCTTGATAGAACAAATGATTAGAACTAGTGTGGTTTATTTTAAGATCTGTAACAGGTGAAGATCTTGAACTGAGGTTCAGTACCAGACTGTTACTTGCTGCTAGTTGCATGTTAACATAATTGCATATTACTTAAATTCATAAATGATATGGTTTATTTTGCCTCCTTGTTTTCCCAGAGAGGCTGATTATACCTGTTTAGCCATAACATAGATTGGAAATAATACTGTGTGAAAGATGAGATTGGATGTCAGTATGTGCAATCTGATGCTTAATGATCATGTACTGCAATCATAATGCCAATATTTTCTGTTTTTCCATTCAGAGGGCATGCCAAAGCAGGGGAAAGTGTGCTCGTGCATGGTGCGAGTGGGGGAGTAAGTATTTTGAGAAGGCAAGTTATAAGAAATGCTGCTTTCTGTCCTTGTACCTGCTTTTGTCTGTGATATGATTTATGGTCACATTTATATCAATTAATGGATTAACAAAATTAGGTTTTTATTTCAGACACTTTAGGATACTTTTTTCTTAGCGCAAACCCTGTTATTCCAAA